ATCTGCAATTTTTTTATGTAAACTCATTATCATAATAAAAAACTAATATTTGCAATTCGTTACCTACCCGTGTATAGACCTGGCTAAGTTCTTTAATGTACTTATTGTGACAAGTTTCATTTAACTGAATTTTGGACATTATGACACGAATTGGCCCGTTATCCACAATATTTTCTAGTGCATCGGTTAGTTGTTCATCCTCTTCATTCTCCTTTTCTTCGCTCGGAATGGGAACTTTACGTTTGCGGCCCATTTCAAAAGTATAACAAATGGACGTATGAATAAATTATTCGTGTTAAACAATGGATTTTAAGAAATATCCAGCCTTGAAACAAAAGCTTCAAATATTCAAAATAAATTCACCGAAAAAAAAAGAATTGAAAAAAATTTCCAAAGCTGTTCCAAAAAGTGACGCTTTGCCATAAAATAAGTAATTCATTTTTAATGTCAAATTCGTTAATAAACTTGGCAGCATCGAACAAATGTACTCTTAAGGTAAACACACATAAACCCGCTTATTTATCCGTTATTTAAAATTTTGTGCTGCGTTCATATAGTATATATAATATTATTGTGATGTCCATATTATGTCTTAGTGAAGGCGTTTAAACTTCATGCTTTTGAGGCGGCAGGGATTTTGATAAGTTTTGCCAGGATTAGCATATTTTGTTTCGTGTAAACAAACAAATAAAAACAAGCACATCATATGTTTTACTTTTTTTTTCTTAAATTTGAGTTTAATTTTTAAATAATTAATAAAAAAAAATAAAATTGCAACCCTAGAAGTTGTTTTCTAATATATATTTATTTTTATTAATCAGTCTCGAATGTGATCACTTGGAAAGGCTGATAAAGGCGAACCGCTTCAATTTGTTTTAAGTTGTGTTTCTATTTTCTAAGCAATTTCTTCCATGTCAAGAGAGTGAGAGAAACTGAAGTCTTGCTTTTCTTCCTCAGGACTTCAAGAAATTTTCAAAACCAGCGGTAATTGTAATGCTTTTGATATTTTACATAATTACATAAAAAAACCTTTGGTTTATTTATTTTTAGAATAAATAAAAACTTGAAAATGTGAACTAAAAATTGTGTGCAATGTGTGTAAAGTTCCTTGATTTATCATTTCGGTCAACTTTGTAGCCGCTGGCCGCTTAATAAGATCAGTTTGTTTGGAAAATTTTCAACTAGTTCTCTAGCAATAAAGCCATGCGAACCATTTAATAAGATCAAGTTGGTCGGGATATTTTCTATTAGTTCTCTAGCGTGCAAACTGTTCGATTTCGTATTGTTTAGTAACCTGGAAGAGCTTTATTAAATAATTCAAGCTTTCTCCTTTTAGTTTGTCTTCATTATACAACGAACTGAATTAAAATTTTTAAGATTATTAATCTTGACTAAAAAAAAAAGTTTGGTAATTATTTTCGAAACAATAGACTAAGAGCCGAACATTAGAAAATGCAATGTAAGATCTGTCGAAACCAAAGTTCTTGGTAAGGTGAGCTTTCTTAAATAATTGAATAATTTAAAAGAACAATTATGGATAAGAAGAACTCATTGAAGCAGCAGAAGCAATAGCAGTTATCATGACGTATTATCATCAACTTTATATACCTGATAATAGACTACTTTTCAGTTTGCCAGCCTAATGAAAAAGACGCACACTTGTTGAGAATATGAAAATGTGAGAAAGCTTTTTTTTCTTTGGAGACTTTTTATATTTGTTTATGGAGATGCTGAGTTGATTACAGAGGATTTGCAACAGTTGCTTAACGCATTTCAACCAATAACGGTATAAGATACGGAATAAACGATTGTAATTCCGTCGACAACTTAATGCTGCAATTTCTGGAGAGAACTTCATTGTAATCTTGTAATGTAATGAATATGATAATTTCACTAAAATATTTTACGTAAAATATTTTGCATTCAAAACTTATAATGATTATCTTAAAAATAATTTACATGCAATGTGTGTGTATCGAAACGTGTGATAGCAGTGTTTTTTTTTTAATATAAATTATAAACTACTTAAGTGCTTGATATATAATAATTAAAATTTTACTACTTGTGAATGTAAGTGCTTACAGTCTTATGAAAATATATAAATATAAATTTTTTACAAAGTTTTCATTTTTAATTTGCTTGCACTTTGATCAATTTCCGCGTTTCGCTAATTTTAAATAGCAATCCATTCTATCAAATTATTGAGATTATTGGCCGTTGCACACGTTTAGACAACCGAGCAAATTCTTCAAAAATATTTCTTAGATTTGATTCACATAGCGCGTACACAATTCATATTTGTATTATTCGTCACACATGCACATATTACTGTGTACATGTAAATGTGATTAAAAAAAAAAACATTTAAAGCACACAACGGATACCCAAGGGTCAAATAAACGCATTAAAAAAAATGTAAAAAAATAAAAAAAAACACAATTACTTTCCCTCACCCACACATTCAAAAGCCTGTAAATGTGAATTACTTCCGTTGTTAAGGAAACTATTAAAAAAAAGGTATGAAGTAGATTTTTACACCTATTCCGTCACCTTGCGAGATTCCATAGCAAGTATAATAAGAAGAATAAGAAGAAGTATACGTAGGCGAGAAATCTATAAACTCTTTATGATGGATTTGCATACTTCTCACTTTGAATTTTTCTGTTCTATCAGACTAAGCATGACCACGGGTACTTTAGGTATCAGCAAAATTTTCGGTTAAAGTATTCTCTCGCAAAGTGCAAACATTTCCTGAGTTGGCGGCGATTATTTGCCTTTGCGGCATGTATTCCCTGTCTTCCAATGATATCGGTTGGATTTTTGCGAGCAGCACCTTGACAATTGTTCTTTCTCAAGTGAGTTCTTCGGACGCAATTAGTAAATATTTTCTGTATTTTGCTTTCTCAACTTTGATAATAAAACCGACAGATAAGGAGACGCCTAGTCGTTGACTAAGAGTGAATGCATGTGAATGTTAAAAAACCGGTTCACATGTGAAGTAGAACCTCAGCTTTATGGAAAATGAGAAAATAAAATTTATTGTCTTTATAACTACTCCATAATTGAAATCGAGTCAATCCGGTATTGAATTTTGAACAAGAAGTGTTCGAAAAGTTAACACAAGGATAACTGAATCGTCGCAGCGAAGCGTTAATGGCGACGCCATAATTGTTGATCGTTTGGTGTCAACTCTTCCTATGATTGCGAAGGAAAATTTACTGATTGTTTATCCACGCTGGGCTTAGACGAAGGTACGAACCAATGGCACAATACTTGTTCGAGCTAACAGTGATCCGTTGCTACAATTCAATTTACGACTGGTTGCACTTTGAAAAATTATGAAATGAACGCCTGCTATAACCTATAAATCATTTACGGAATTCAATTTGAGGGATTTGAAGGAGACAATTGCTAAGATATTTAAATCGATACAAATTCTTAACTTTAAATTTATTTATTCTGGCGAGTCTGAAATTTTTCTTATTGACTCTCCACATGTTTGGTTCAGTTTCCTTTTGAGGTTATGTCGCGATATCGTTATTTCACTGACCTATTGATGTCTTTGGGATGTATTTGTAGAATTGATTTGGTCATCCGCGCTCGAAACAGTTCGTAGTGGAGCGAGCGAAAACATCGAGTTTATTGAGAACGAAATTCACTGAGGGGTATTCTAGAGGGAAATATTCATAGGCTTGAAACAAGTAAGGTAACAATATTTGGTTATGGCCGGCTATTAATTAATATCATAAAAATGGGAAGGAATGCTTCACCTTTTACTTCACTAAAAAATTAATCTGCCATGTCGTAACGTTCGTCATAATCACTTTACATAAAACCTTTCATCTACCAGGTCGTGGTGTCCAGCATATTTATTTTGGAATGAACGCATTTTTAGGCAGACAATACGTCTTCAGCTGATGAATCTACAAAATAGTTTTAAACATTCTTGTTCATTCCTTGTTTACCTTATAATTAATAATCAGAGAACATCGAAAAAATGAAAAAAAAAAATTTAATCACTTGTGGTTTTTTGTGTCCATGACTGATTTTTTCCATTCGTGCACATAAATAGTAGAGTTTTACGTAAGGTAAACGCGGAAAATTTCAGCCTATTTCTATATTTGTTTAATTTGTCAGAAAAGAGTTAAAATCCACGAATTTTTGGTTAGAAAAACGGAGTTGCATTCAGTTTACGATTCACTGCGGGTTTGTGTACTAACCATTTTGGCCCGTTTTCAATAGTAACTAGCGTGCAAAGACTTCCAATGGTTCCATCAAATATGAAATCTGTAGCTTTATTTTTGCGGCCAGGAAAAAGTTCACAACCGACGGACGGGTGGACATATTAAATTCGATTTAACATTTGATACTGATCAAGATATATATGCTTTGTGGGGTCTCTTCCTGACAAAATGAATATATCCCTCATTTTTGCGATGAGGACATACGGACATATAAACGGATTGGTTTAATCAATTCAGAATTTCGCGCTGATCGAGAATGCTTTATAAGATTTCTGATGCTTGCTTTTCGATGTTGTTGTAGACATTATGGCAAGATGAGTATACGCCTCATCCATCAGTGCTGGGTATAATAATATATAAAAGTTGTAAGCGTTGAGTCTATAATTAAGCAAACCAGAAGGAAACTGCTTTGATCGACAGAATTCCTCAGTTTAAACAATTTATTCATTTATTTATGCAGATCTCTCAATGCAAGTATGTTTTTTGTGCCGTATAAATGCTTGTTTTACTCCAGTTCATACTTTTGTTAATTACTTGGGCGAAACTTGTGACCTTTTAGTGGTCCTGGTACGACAAGTCTCGTTTAGTCTTAAGTGATAAGCGTCACTCAGTTGTAATGATTTAATGATTAATCATTGATTAATAAACTTAAATATAAATTTAAACTTAAACTTGTAATCTTGTGATCTCCTAAAGGCTCTATTCAATTACTTTCAGTCCGCATTCTGTCTGGCCTAAACTGTTAACTGTTGAGTTCTTCCTTCTTAAAGTGGTTGGAGTTTTAACTGAATGTAGAACATTTTTCAATCCAAAAGATTCTTTGCTATTATTATACCATACACAGCGATACAAAGTATATTAAGTTTATGCGGACATATGTAACAAGCAGAAGTGCTTGGGATACGACCACCTTTTATTACATCGATCAATTCAGAATCATTTTCTCAATTGATTTAAGCTTGTCTCTCCGTCCGTCCGTCCGTCTGATCTTCTGTCCATATAAGTTTGTGTTCAGGCCACAGGTCGCCAGGTTTGAGAAATTTTATCCCACCTAAAATGCTAACCGTTTGCGGACTTCTTATTAAAGTCGTTGGGATTTAAATTGAAAGTAGAACATTTTTAAACCTAATAATAGCACAATGAAAAATATGTTATGAAAACATTACATGTTTCCCATTACTAAAACTCTTACAATTAACTTAGTAAATTAAAAGTTACTTTGTATTACATACGTACGGGTTCTCTGGCGTGCAGCATAGAAAAAGTAAATGTTTTATTTACAGGTTGAAATGTGAAATAAAAACCGAACCCTTAGGCAAGAGAAGAAATTATTAATGATAGCTGTCCATACCTTGTTAAGGTTACGGACATCTACTTATCATACAATGCTGTGCTGGGCTATCTGTCTAATAAAGAAAAGAAACAAGAAAAATCAAGAATAAAATATCTTTAGCTAAAAAATAATTTTTCCCGTTTTTTTTATTTATATGCCGGTATATTTATGTCATTGCCCATAAAAGATTTCCTTTTCACTTTCGTAGCCAGCACTTAAAACTTGTTGACTAATAATTGTATGCTTGAGAATTTGTGAAATCCGTAGTAAAGAAGAAATGCGACATAATTATGCTGTTGGATATGGATAAACTTGGATTATTTATTATTTTTAAAGAAAGACTTTGCATGAGTGAGAGGCAATCTAAACGTAATAGCTAGGGGTCGAAATCCATGAATCTTTTGTCGCCTTTTATTCTTTTGATTAAGATTTCCTGTCAACGATTACGTCATTGTAACGTATAACGACATCTATCATTGACATGTTCGGGAACTTGTTTATAAGTTCCCCCAAAGATTTTTCAGGCAAACGTCTATCGAACGGATAGCCCATACTGCGATTGTCCGGATAGAGTTTATCTTTCAAACCACAAAACGATGACGAATCGCCGCATACGCTTGGCCTGCAATGTTGGTAGTAATAGTGACAACGAAATTATTGGAAAATATTTTTATTTTTTCTTTGCTGGACTTACTGATCCTGGGTTTGTTGAACTTCATCTCCGGTGTAATCCGATATCATAACAAAAAGATCAAAAGCCATGCCTTCGGGTCTGCCCTTTGGTAAAAGCAAATGCTCAGGCCAACCGCATCCACAGAAACGGAATTCAGCGAGCTGACGTTCGTCAGTGGGCTGATATTTTGGCCCAAGCCTACGGAAACTGCGTTCGTATGGAATGGTAACGCTTGAACTATTCGACGATTGGTGTATATTATTCATACCAGGTACCACTGAAAGCAAGCTCGCATTTAACACAACAATTTCGTAGCACGCTATAATTTTACAATTTCACTTACAAGTTTCGGTGAATCGATCTAATTCGATTGCGAGTAATCGTTGTTCGTTTAAGGTTAAGAGTGTGCCCCGTTCGTCAGATTTCGGGCAAATGAATATGCGAAAAGTTCCCCTCTTTGGTACATTTTCCGCATTATTGACATTAATAGCATATTCGAATGGTGCGTGCTGTAAGTGAGTGAAAGTGGCGTATATATTGCCTTTTGGGCCAAAATCTAAACCGGCTGCTAAATCTACATCCGATTTCTCCATATAAGTCAATAAGGTGTTGGGGCTGGCCTTTTGACTGGCGGTTTGAATGCGAACCTCAAATTTCGAAACATGAATGCCTTGATATGCTAGATCGGCATCTTCATAAGGCGAGAGAAGTTCTTTGTGGCGATTGAAGATGCTATCAATGTAGCCATGCCATCTATAAAAAATGGGATCACGCATAGCAGTAGTCACATCGCCCATTACACCGAAATCTTCAAGGAAGCGTGAATCAGGATCATGACAGCATGAAATCGCATTGTGTCCTTCGTTGTGTAGACTGCCATAAAATTGAGGATTAATTGACAATTGTGTGGATTCTATGATATCTCCGAGAATATCGATCCCCTTCTTCGGATCCAAGGGTATGTTGTTACCTTTAGTCTAGGAGATCGTGTAAAATGATAATAGCGTTGAGCTTGAAAATGATCAACGAATGGAACTTACATCGGTTACGAAACCTTGATCGATTGCTTGTATTATGCGATTCGCCCAGCGTTCCAGATCAGCGATTTCTAACTTGGCATCCTCGCGATCGATGTCGTGCAATTTGCTAAACGCAGAACGGGCGGGATAAGTGCGATTGTTTAAACTGCTCATAATTTTTGGGAAATAACCCTCGGCAATCGGCTCTCTAATATTGTTCAGAATTTTTATCTTTGCGAGACCGTTGCAAAAACGTTCGACATTGTAGCGGGCAATGATTTGATGATGCATATAATAGAATAGTTCACCGCGGCGATCCTTCTTTACAATCTCATCAGCGCCATAACCAGGGTAAACTAAATGCCAGTGCCAATGATGACTGTTAACCCCAATATCCTCACGGAAATAACTCATACGCTGTTCCTCTTCACGATCCGAAGCTGTGTAATTGCGTGGAATATCAATGTGACGCTAAGTTAAGGAGAAAGAAAAAATATTTTAATGCGTAAAAATTGTTTAAAATTTGGATATAATTTACTCTATCTCCGGTATTGCGAACCAATTCACCTTCGGCACGAGCATCTTTGAAAACGGCTGGCTCAACGAAGTTTTGAGGGAACATCTCAGCAATTGGTTTGATTGCAAAGTTTTTAGTATCTTTACGATGCTGGACAGCGACCGCATAGCAATATTGAAATAGAAACGGATTGACTCGATCCTTGACATAAGCGCACGTGGCAATGAATAATTCTTCGGTCTCGGCATTCAACAAAATATCAATTAATCGGGCAGCTATTGAACGATGTAAGCTATTGAAAAGCGAAAATTGCTTACGCTTTCCAACGGGCTTTGTAAAAGTCAAGTCGGGCTTTTTGGTTAATTCACGTAACGGGATCTTTATGTCGACATCTTCGCTAAAGCGCGATAGAATGTCTTCCTTTACGTCGGAATACTGTTCGCTGTAGAAGCTATCGGGTATATCGAAGACAGCCTTGCCGTCGTCACGAGCTGTGAAGACCGGTTCAAGTGGACGTTCGAAAAGCAATTCTAACGCTTTCCTATTAGTTGGATTAGACATTTTGCGTATAATAGCTGATGTAAGACTGAAAACTTAACTGTGGTCTTCGCAATAAATTTCTCCAAATTTATACAAAATTTTATGTTCGCATGAAATAAAAAAATAGATAAAAACTTTATATAAATAAAAAAAAGAAAAAAAAAAAGTTATTGCGATAATTTTGGAAAACCGCAAAAATGTGGAACACAACCGCATTCGAAAAATTTATTTTCACTGACCGACAAACGTAACGGTAATTCAAATAAATATTTTTATATATGTGTACACTGGCATTAATATTAAATTGATCGCGCGTTGCATCTCTTTTAAGGGTTGGAGAAGCTATTAATAAATACGTAAAATAGCGTAAAGAGCAGGAGTTTTTTCTTTTTTCTTAATACCTTTTCTTCCAAACCAAGTTATAGTCAGTCTCGTTCTATGCAATTAATTCACCGCTTCATTTGCGGTTTATATTCCAGTGGTCCAACAAATTCTTTTTATCACCTTGTGCTCATTTTCACAGTACACTTGTCTACTCCTTCTATAATAAACCTCACGTTATGAGAATTGTTTTTATTGCGTACAATTTTTTTTTTTTTTTTTTGAGGTCTGAAAGTAAATAAAAGTCAATGTACGAGTTGAATGTGAATATATGCCCCAACAATTCTTGGGGCAGTTATCACGAATTTCGTTTTGCAGCAGAACATTTTTTGTAAGATTTTATTTTATATCGTATTGTTTTAAAGCGCTTGAAACAAGACTTTTGATACCCTACATTACAGCACCGGAACAAGAGTATATTGAGACAGGCAGACAGAACGAACCAGACAAGGTTAGACACATTGGGATGGGAAATGATTTTGATTTTATCAGTACAAGCCAACATGGATCTGTTTTAAGTCCTTATTGGAATTGTATACATCCACACAAGCTTAATGTACATAGATCAGGAGAGGTAGGATAGAGAAGATATAGTAATGGTATATCGACTCTGTTTATGCGCTACACAACTTGTGGTAGACGAGTATATTAAGTTTGTACGAGTGTATGCAAGACACAAAAGAACTTGAAAACTTGAGCTACTTTTTACTATACAGATCGATTTAGGACCACTTTCTGAATAAACCTAAACTTGCCTGTCCGTCTCTCCATCTTCTTTTCAAGCCCGCAGGCCGCAACTATTGAGAAGTTGTGAGACGAAATTTGTCACAGTGGGTCACTCTAGCTCGGACAAGAATCTCACTGAAAATTGCGTGGATCGGATAACATTTTCGAGCACTTATCAAAGAACGGCTTATATTGCAAAATCATTATGTGAATAATTGCATTAAACGAAATGCTGTAGGGTATTCAATTGTGGACCCTGTTCACCTAGCTCTTTTTGTTTGTTTAATTAAGGCTGCTTTCATAGTATATGCTTACCTATATACCCTACACCCGGTACCTTTTGCGGTATAAGCGCACACCAAGATAGACTGGATGTATGCAATATTCACAAGGACAAGGAGGAGACAGAGCCACATTTTATTATGCTGATCAATTCAGAATCATTTCTCACGCTTGCCTACAGATAGCAGTTTTTGCGACATTTTGATCCAATTTTGTAAACTAACATCTAAATGGCGACCACTTCCCATATAATCCCCTATTCTATGTGTAACTGTAGGGTTGTTCGGGTTATTTAATTGTGAATCGTGGCCAATTGTAATGTTTTTGGTGCTTTCAATTTACAAAATGCGCTTCTTTAAAGTCAACTATGCAGATAGATTGAGAAATGACTAGAGCACGAGTCTAAGTGGGTTCCTCGCTAAGATGCTATTGAGAAATCGGATTGAAGTTTTGCTTACCTTCAATGGCGAGACGAAGCATCAACTCTTATAGTTATCACTTATCCTGTCAATCTACGAAGTTTGTAATTAGCTTTGAATTAATCAATCTGATGACGTAATGTCAGATACATGTGATGGATGACTAAGAACTTTCTATTTCCCTTTTTTGTTGTTTCACTGATGTGAAACAATAATTTTTTTTCCAGCCACTTACTACTGTTAGCCTTTTCTCTTTGAAACTGTATAAAGATGGTTTACGGTATACTTTGACATCGACAGTTTGTCTTGATTACCTACTGAAGTAGCATTGGAACATTTTCTATCTCTATGTCTATGTCTATGTCTATAAACGACGACATGAGTGTGTAGTTTTGCAAAACTGTGGACGATGTTATAATTTTACAATATGTCTTCCTCTTCTTGACATTTGTTCCTAAGCTATTCGTAAAAAGGCTACTTTTTGTCTTTGGAAATTAGTTTTCAAAAAACTTTTCCTCAGAATATGTAATGAGACATGAGGACAATAATTTTATATTCGTTATTGAAAAATTGATGTACACTAGACTTGACGTTCCGTTTGTGGTGACATCCTTTGCAAATTTAATCCCCTTGTTCATTTGTCCACCTGCCATCCGCTTACAAAACTGTGGTAAGATGGAAAGAGGAAACTTCGCAGTGTTCCTTGAGCGCTACAGACGCCAAAGTATGAAAATATACTCCATTAGTTATGTCGTTTATAACACAGAGAAACATACATCGAACTACCTTTTGTCCGCCCATCCGCTCGTCTATCGCTGTAGCTTAATCTTTAATGCCAGTATCCTATAATATTGAATGGGCTCATGCGATTTTCTCCACTTTTTATAGGCCTTGTAGGCTCGTCCGTAGAATATTTTTGCCTATCGCAGTCTGTGTGTGTTCGTTGGTCCATTTTAAACGTCAAGTTGGTTGTAAAAACTTCTTCTTGTTGAGATTTGAGAGTCAATAAAAATCCATAATGTAAGCCACTTATCCACTTATTAAAACTGAAGCAAACATTATCTAAATCCCGATAAAAGGTCAATGCTCCAGTTAAAATATGTGGCCTTAACTGGATGACTTTAAGCACTTACCTGCACAAATCCCGTTGGATAAGATGAAAATGTTTCGCTTGAAGACCAACTACATGCAAATTTAAAGCGATAAAATGTTGAATTCGGTTTTTATAAATTTTAAAATCGATGACTATCGCAAATTCCGTAAAATGCATCGCCAAATCTCCTTGACGATCCTATCAAACTAGTATTGCCTTCATTTTACAATCGATTCGTGAAATGCATCAGCAAATCTCCTTGACAATCCTACCAAACTACCATTGCCTTCATTTTATATTCGATCCGTAAAACGCATCGCCAAATCTCCTTGACGATCCTACTAAACTACCATTGCCCTCATTTTACAATCGATCCGTGAAATGCATCCTTGACGATCCTACCAAACTAATATTGCTTTAAAATTGCTTTAGTTATTTGATTCATATAAATATTTATTTAAAATTGAAGAAAAGTTTATTCAAACTAAAATTTGTATCAGTTTTGCTTATTATTATCCCTTTGTTAGCATGTACCACTGGACTTTTGAATGAAATCAGTGAAAATATATAAACGTTTCATTCTTCATTTGCATAAATTATTACTGATAGACGAAGCCATCGTATACAAAGAATATTTGTGTCATAAACGAATTTTATTAATGTAACGCAAGTCTGGTGGTACTTGAAGTAGAGCGCTTTCTGAGTGAAGGGAACCTCAAAGGAGAGAGAGTTTGCATTTTTGTTTAGTTTTTCCTTTTCTTTTTGCGAATGTTGACACACTTTAGTTTTTATTATTTATGATATGAATGGAAAATATCAGAATTTTGGGAAACGATGTTACGATGTTACGTACTAGAGTAAACATTTCAACTTTCAAGCGAAACTCGGCAGCATTTCATTTATTTTGGTTAAGACCACAAACTTTGGCCTTACACCAAACTAAAAAAAAGTTATGGTACGAGTTGTCGTTGAAAGGAAAGTTAAAGGATAAGTACGAAAATTTCTTTTTACTTATATTGAAACGCATTCCAATACTGAGTGGAATCTTCGGTTAGCGAAAAAAACTGTAGTCATTTTCACTAGAAAGTGAAATTATATTTATGTATGCGTTTAAATCGCACAAAGTCAAGTTAAAGTAAATGTGACACAGTATAGATAGAATTTCTCTGCAGTCTTCTCGATTTGATTGTTCCAGATCAACGGTCACCAAAGTGGTCAAGAGTCGATATGCTTGGATCTTGTGTACTTCAGTTTACGCAACTTGTTAACTTGCGTTCGTTTAATTCTAAATTTCAATGTAAGTTATAGGTGTTTGTTTGTCTGCTTATTCATGTAATTCTGTTATCTACTGACCATAGTCAATGATTGCATGTTGCAAGGCAATCCATTTAAGGTACGTCATCCTTTTCAGTTTTCTTTTATCTTGTTTACTTTGCATTTTTTGCGAAATCATTTTGATTTGTCAAATTTTGCAGATTTGGCAAAAGTGATTGTGAACATTGTAACTATGAACCAAAATTTATTTGTGTAATATTTTTGGAAGAATTGCTCTAAATGCTCTAAGTCAGTTGTAGTTTTTAAACTCATAAACTAAATAAAGTTTCTTCTCATTGATTAGATGCAATTAAATGCTCGCCTCATTTCTCATTTGTCTGATCGTTATTTCGTTTATTTCCATTGACTCTTCGTTCCAAGTGCTGAGGGGCGATAAATAAAATTAAGCTGACTTAATATGGATGCAGCGTTTGAATTAAGTAGACGGCAAGATAACAAGATTTTTTCTTTTGGATCCTCCATGAATTCTTTAGTTATGCTTAGAGGTCGACCCGATCTAGTTGCTTAGTAGATATTCAATGAATGAATGAATGCTCTGGAAAATTTTGCTCTGGTAATCTTGCGAAGAATCGTCATTCATATCCTTCTCATTGGTTGATATAAAATATATAGATTTTGTATCAATATAAAATATAAACCATTATATCCTACGCCACTTGTGGTACAAGACTATATATAAGGGACAGATCCACAATTTATTACGCCGATCGGTTCAGAATGACTCGCTAACTCTCCGGTTAAGTGTAACGTACAGATCGCGACTTTTGAGAAATTCTGATGAAATTTGGTTTGCTTACGTGTTTTAGTCCAGGGACAAACACTATTGAAAATGGTTCAGATCGGACCACTTTCCAGATAAAATTTTATTTTGAAAACTCATGTAAATAACTGTAGGCTGTTGTA